TGAGGACCCCTGATTCTAGTTGAATAAGCCACAATTTCTTGGGATCATACAATGAGATTTAAAAAGAAGTTTTAACCACTAAAAACACTAAGATCAAACAAAGCAAGCCACACTATAAATTAAAGTAGTGTATGAACCCAACCTGTCTTCTATAATATGGATTTTCTTCTACAGCAAATCTTCTTCTTGTTGGCCTTAGACTAGCCCAATGTTTCTCAACCTTGACAATTTTAAGGCATGTGGACTTCAACTCCCAGAATTCCACAGCCAGCATTGCTGGCTGTGGAATTCTGGGAGTTGAAGTCCACATGCCTTAAAATTGTCAAGGTTGAGAAACACTGGACTAGCCAAATAAAATACTGAAAATGCAGTGCTTACAAATGAACAAAGTATTTGATAAATCTAGACAGCTGTGTGTATGTATGGGGGGGGGTGTTGTGCTCCTGGATATTTTCAAAACAGAAGTTTCTTGGCTAAGTAAAAGCCCTAAGTTCTATTATTAGCATAAAATCACTGAACTGAAATAATCTTTTTAATCTCATGCAGTTCCTATTAGGCCTAACTTGCATTAGTAATGGTAAGGGATGATGGGAATTGCAGTTCAATAATATATGGAGGCCAAATATTGCTTACCTCTAATTTAGTACACGGTTCTCCTAAATCAACCGGTTGGATTTTACTTGTAAATCTGGCCTTTATATGACCTTTTGTTCCACTTTATCTCTTTACTGAACAGTTTTAAATTCTCATTCTCTGCATTTTCTAATTTTTGAAAAGTAATTATATCTTATCTTTTACCATAAAGGATAAATGGCTATATTTCCTATTCTCAGAAATTACATTTAGAATCTGATAAGTATTATTTATACTTCTTATTTAAGCCAAAGCAATTGAAATTGTACAGCATTTTCTTTTATATTATATAATCTTTTTTACCATGAACTTTTGTTCCTTTCTTCCAAAAATGTACAATACATGTCACAAGCTAGGGCTCTGAACATGCAGCTACAATTTGACTTATTAAAGCAAGCTTGCTAGAATAATTAATTACTAATAGTAGCCACATGCTGCATTAAGATCACCTAAATTTGATTGCAATGATTTCACAATGGTTATCATCTTTTCAGAGCTCTTGTATCTAATCCCAGTCTGCAATGCTAACCTATATTAGTTTATTTGGCCTTCACGGGAATTCTATAGTCAACTCAGTTCAGTGTTTCATTAAATCACAGATAAAGCTGCACCTATCAGTGATGAAGGATATATACAAAATATTTTGAACTCTAGACCATCTGTTGAGAATAAGTTTAGAAGGGGGGAGGGGGGAGGAAACTCCTGAGAAACTATAAACAAACTGGCCCCTACTAAACTTGTGCTTAAAACTCCTTTCATTTAAAAGCCACTACTGCATTGAATTCTTTTCCAAGCACAATGGCTGTTTGGAGGCACACATTAATGAACAAAAAACATTATCAGCCATTTTTATAGCACAATCTAGTGCCAGTTTCCAATACGCATTTTCCACTGCAAGAAAAATGGGTGGAATTAAGATTATGTGTGTTTTATCATTTACATTTAAAGTGCATGCCACAAGGACCTATAGAATCAACTGCAGGTGAAATGGGAAGCCACATTGCTAATTTTGCTTAAGCTGGTTTTTCTTAGTTAAATTAGTTCAAAAGCTATAGAAAATAGTTCTTTGAATAGATATTATTTCATCAATAATCATCAGCTTTGGTGTATTTTATTACTTTTCATCAAGGTAAATATGATACAATAACAACTTTAGATGCTTAGATTCATCAATCTATTTTATTGGCATGTTGTTATGATGTGCCATTTGGCGGGGCCGCGGGGGAGGGCTTTCTCTGTGATGGCGCCCACGTCTTGGAACCAGCTCCCCCCGGAGATTAGGACCGCTCCCACCCTGTTGGTTTTCCGCAAGCTGCTTAAGACCTGGGTTTTCCGGCAGGCCTGGGGTTTATAAAATCTGACCCCTGGATGAATGTTATTGTATTATTTGTTTTGTTAAGTTATGTTGTGTTTTTATTGTTAGCCACCCGGAGTCCTGTGGGAGTGGGGCGGTCTATAAATTTTAATAAATAAAATAAATAAATAAAATGTGGAATTTATGAATGTATAAGTTTCCACATGTTATCTCATTGGGTGCATTCATCTTATTTTTTAAAAATGCTGCATCACTATTTGTAGCTTGTTTATGAAGCCAAAAACCAGTTCAATAATTTTAGATAAGCAATTTTCTTAATTTTCAGTAGGTGAAATAGAAATCTTTTTTCTTAGCAAATCCATATTTGCTATGTAGTAACAGCTTAGCCATATTTTTTAAAAAACATTCTATCTTCACATAATAATCTTTAAACTTTCTTTCTTTCCATTTCTCTCTAGTGTAATCTCTATAGTATCCCACTGAAAGCAGAATGTGGGTTTACAACAAAATAGCACTGACTCAACATTATTACTTTTAATGAAGGACAAAACTTCCTTCTAGGTTCAAGAAAAAGACTGCCAAATAAGATGAAATCCTGATAAGAAGAATTCTATCAGAAATATTCAAGCTATGGCAATTGCTATGAGACTAATAGAACTATTGAGTAACATAATAATTAAGACAGTATTTTTAAGCCTTACCCAACTTAATACTTTATTATTCAGCTAGCAAAATAATTACTACAGTTTAGTTCTACACCTCTAGAAAATTTTTGATTAAACTAATTTGCACATGAAATGCTTTGGATAAATGAATGTACTGCATTTGTATCTACAATCAAATAAATATGTTTGATATAGTAAGAAGCTGGAACAAAGTGATCTTATTTATATCAGAACAGAACAAATATCTAGGTTATGAAAGTAGTCACAGTTAGTCATCGTGTCAAGCCAAAACTGAGGATAGGGTTTATACCAATAAAATCACAATTCTCAGTTACAGTACTGATGCATAATTGCATATTGTACCTCCTTCCTATTATTGAGAACAAAGACTAACTGAGGAACAAATCAGTTTATCGTATTAAATTCTATCTAATTTGTCCCTGTGATGACCCTTCAATACTTCGGTAATAGTTCATGCCCCAAATTTGGTTCTTGTTCTCTTTTATCCAGTAGCCTTTTCCTTTTTCATATGCCATATTGTGCAGGGTTAGTCAGGAACATTAGCTGGTGCCAGCCATGTCCTCCTGGAGCAGAGGTGGCAGTCCACCCATTTTAAAACAAGCACTTTAAATCAGAGCTCCCCAACCTTTCCAGCTTGGCAGTCCAGAAGGAAAGAGAGAAGCAGGGAAATGTGTGCGCGCATGGCCCCGCATGAGCACACATAAATGGCTGCGTGCATGATAATGGTACGAGCACATGTGCGCATGTGCAAATGGGCCATGCACATGAGCAAGTGGGCCACGTGCACCATAAGCACGCACAAACGGGCTGCTAGGGCCCGCATGCATGCACAAGCAGACTTCTAACATCTGCCTGATGCTGGTGGTGGTGTTAGTGCCCCCGTGCATGTGCAAATGGGCTGCTAGTGCCTGCATAGCAGTGCTAGCCCATAGGTTAGGGACCCCTGCTTTAAATATTGCTGATGCAAGAGTCACTCCTGTGCTTTCCAGATTCCTGCCGCCCTTTTATAGCTACATCTAATTAGTTACATCTAAATGTTACATGATAGCAACTGCTTGTAGGGTGTGGAATTATTTGTGGGGCTGAGCAATTACAGATTCTATCTGCTACTATAAAGAATATATTAGCTTTCAAAGTATTGTGTTCAGGACTCTAGAAATTTATATAGTGAAATTCAGAATACTTGAAACAAATGGTTTGTTTCAAGTGATTTCATGGATGGAATCAAGATATTAGCAGCTCCAACTGCTTTCCAGGGATCACTTCGTTCTACCTAAAGATGTAAGTGGGAGAAATCAACAGTATTTTAAATGACAATGTAATCACAGAGTCATTTGGTTGTCCAAAAATATATATATTTAAAAATATGGTAGGTATCTGGTGAAACAATTACGTCTTATGAGGCCCTAATGATCTGATTCTTGTATAACCTCATGAGATTGTGGCATTCTCGCCTGGAATTCTCCAGATGTTGCTAATTTGGGATTCACAGACACCATCTATGTCTCCTGCAGGTAGTTTGGCACCTACGAATGTAGCATTGCCAATTCTTTTTCTATGAAATGAGTGAGGCTTTTTTGTTTCTGATTTATAGCTGTTATTTAAATTTTATACATATACATATAGTTTTTTATGAGACTAAAAAACTATAGCTTTTTAACCATCCTTAGTAGATAAGGGAAATGTAAATGAACTAACCAGCTTTTCCAAATCCACACTACAGTACGGATGTTCCATGCACAAAAAAATCTAGGCATAGAACAGCTGGCTTTGGGAGACCTGTGTCCAACCCAAAACATGCATATTTCAGATTATATCATCTGCATATGGAATGAAAAAGACAAGATAAGGATTTTCGTTGGTGACAGCACCTGCAAACTTCAGTCCTGGCAGTAGTTTTGTGGGAGGAAAAAGAGGAAAGCAAGATCAGGAGGTGGGCAGGCCATTGCCAGACAGAGGAGGTGTAAAAGCACTCCAGGATCCTTATGAGTACAGCTCAAACTGTAACCCTAAACAACCAAAATGTTTCAGGTTTTGTTTCTGTCAAACAGCAGCTGATCAGAAACTGTTTGGTAGAACTTCCAAAATGCAATTATCTGTTTGGGGTTAAAAAATACAAAATTATTTTCCAATTTATATACAGTACCCCCTGACATGCTTTAAAGTTCTCGGAAACAACTTAGTTCACCTTGTGGTCTGACTACATATATCTTTTATTCTGATCCATCTCTTCTTACCCCTCTGCTCAGGAAGCATTGTAGAACTTCACAGAAACCAATACATTGGAGCAATTTAGCCAATAATTAGTACTTAATGAATAATATATTTTATGCCCCCTCTATGCAAACAGAGGAAAAGCAAAATACCTGCAATTCTGTTTGAAAGAAGAACTTCTGTGGGCATTGTGTACAATCGTAGATCTTGTCTTCTTGCCCATGGGCTGAAAAAATATGTTGCTGCAATTTGTTGGCTTGAACAAATACTGGAAACATCAAAAAGGAAAATGTGAACTTTTTGTTAGTTCATTTTATTACATTGAAAGACTTTTTTCGGTGAACATTTCCTCATTACTCCCAGCAATTGCAAAGGGTACAATTATCAAAGAACCCTATAATTTCTGATTACACTGTTGCTATAATAGGCACCAGCCATGATTATTCAGCTGAACATTCAAGTCTTAATTTTCTTTTCTATTCTTTGTAAAGAACTATGCTTATATGTCTGGTAAAAACATAATCAAATAAGACTTAAATCACAAACAGTTAGAAGTGTACTTTTCCCATTTTACCACAACAATTTAAAATTAAACCATACTCCACTAAAACTCAACATTAAAAATCTTGCTACTTAAAAATTTGGAAGCAACAGATTCTAAAGCCTGTTTTGTGTATTTGCCTAAGTAGCCGATTCTATCCTGTATTGAAATGTGTTAATGTATTGAAACAATTCTGTACAGAAATGATTAATGTTAAAAATTATATCCCACAGCTATATTTGGGCAATATCTATAAATGTGAAACAGAACTACAGGTAAATTCTCTTTGGATACTTTAAGATCAACGTTGAGCACACACTGAATGCAAAGGTTTCAATAATATAAACACGTTCAATTTTAATGACTACAAACAAGGCCCTAAGACTGTGTAACAGTTTACCTAGGAGACATAGTATTAATAATTAAATTGTATATGCCAGAGGCAGTGTTTGGGTTGGCAGCACTGACTTCTGATGGATGCCTGGTGCACTGTGACCTAAAAAAAGTTTGCATATACAATATTAATTTGTATAGGCAGAGTAAGGATTTATTAAAGATGCTGGCATTTAACTTTGACTCCATTCCTAATCATTAAAATAATTCTAATTGAATGCCAACAACAAAGAAAGAATTAGAACAGGGTTCTTATGAGTCATACATTTTAATCACATTTTTCATTACATTAAAATTATTGGATTCCATTTTCCATATAAAATTTATATTGGTGATTCTCAGTTCTTGTTAATATTCTGCACATTGTATAAATTTAATAGCATATTACTCCTAAAACATCATTGTCTATCATTAATGTGCTGTATCTATTTACCCCATCAGCAAAAAAATGTTTTCATTTTCAACATACATATTGGAATAAGAGTTTCAATACTTTGAACACATTTTATAAAGCCTCTAGCTGAAATGTTGTTTTTGTTGTTATTTGGGAAATCTATTCATGGAAAGAAACAGAAATAGAATTGTTTTTCTAATGTTTTATTACACAGCCAAAACTTACGCTTTAAAATCACAAATGGTATTAAAAGTTGCCTACAATACACTTTAGGTATAAATATAGTATATAAATTCAACATTAATGACTTCTGTCTACATGTAGAAAAATGTGGAAAACGAAACAAAAACTCAACTATGGGAATTACCAAACCAGCATGGCTGACAGGCACACTGTTGAAAACAAAACTAGCTTCAAACATTATTAGAGCAACCTGTGTGTTGAAAAGTAACTAAATGTTATAATACAGAGGAAAAATGTTTAACTAGTAAGTAGGAGGCAATAATTAGAAATAACAGCAAGGCTTGCCTCTGTTTTATTGGGGAAAGTGCTGCCAAAGAACAAGAAATAACATTTTGAGGTTTTCTTTTCAGTGTAGAAATAATAATCCTGAAATGCATCCTATTGATGATACACAGCTGTGCAGACTGCTGACTTTACCCTTAGAAAACAGATCCTGCATCTAGACACTATATTTAAACTGTAAAGTTCAATGGCATTACTGCTATTAGAAATAAAATGTTTCTATGCAGCTCTTAAATGGTTAGATTTCCAATTATAGTTTTAAGTTATGCTTCATCCAGAAAGTCTCTGTTTCACACTGTGCAAGAGGCCTTCTCTTAAAGAAAGTGGATCTGTAAAAAGCTGACAGATGTGGTTTCTTTCACTAGAATGATATGTGATTGAGTCCCTATCCTGATAGCACTGGATATTGTAGGGAAAAAAAATAGCATGGGATTAGTTTAGTTATAGAAAGAAAAGTAGTAGATGATTTGCTGTTGGGTAGGCTGAAATTAATCTAAAGGTAAGGCAATTTGGAGGATGTAGTAGATTTAGATCGAAAGGGTAGTATATACTCATGATTCACTGAATAAAGTCACAAATGCATGCTTATCACTGAGTAACAGCAGCATGCATTATATAATGATTAAGCAGGAAAGATTTTCATATATTTTAAAAGAGTGACTCAGCTGCAAGTCATTATACTGACTGCTCATAATGAATCAACATGCAAGCTGTATGGGCACAGAGAGCCATGTGTTGTTTGTGTTGCATTTAGATGTATTTGATTAACATACTTTAGTCTGGTGTAGGAATTCACACACTATGCGTTGACAGTGTCTTTTTGATTTCAGCATGGTAGTTTATGATAGTGGTACAATGATCATTTAATTGACAATCAATAGGATCATGTTTTAGAGCACTATGTCCAATCTTTTGGCTTGCCTGGGCTGCACTAAATGAAGAGAATTGTCTTGGGCCACATATAAAATATATAATATAGTTAATGTTTACTACTTTGGAGGCAAGAATTACTAACTTTCCAGGGCCGCATGTGGCCCATGGGTCATAGGTTGGACATCCCTGTCTTAGAGTATTTCACTGATGTCACTGATGGTAATAAAAGATAGGATAAGAATCCACTTGCACATAGATGTACTTTACTTCATTCCTAATTTCTGCAAAAATAGTCACACATTTATTTCAGTAACAAACATCATCAATTTTGGTGGGGAAAATACCAGTGCCATGCATAGCCCAAATATAGTCATACTCAACATGTGTAGCCTATTTTTTATTTCTGTACGTATTTATTTATATCCTGCCTTTATTATTTTGAAAAATAATTCAAGGCAGCTAACATACCTAATTCTCCTTTCTCCTCCTATTTTCCTCACGACAACCCTAGCCAAGTTACACTAGAACAGTGGTCCCCAACCTTTATGGCTCCATGGACCACCAGCAGCGGCATTGGCAATGTGGGGAAGGGGATAGTTTCATGCATGCATCCTAGCTCCTGAGCATGTGCAAATGAAGCTTTGCGCACTTACCTGCCCCTTGCACAGTCTGGTTCCCAAAGGGCTGAGAATCATTATCAGGTTGCAGACTGGGAGTTGGAGACCCCTACATTAGACCAAACTTGTTTATTTTTTTCAGCTGAGAATATCAGGTTCTTTTCCCAATATTGTATCATATACTGCTTTTAAAAGTCTTATTTTAAAAACAGATATTAAAGTAAATACTGGCTTCCAAGAAAAACCAGTAATAAGGTTGAAAGTTACTAAGATTTGGGCAAGAAAAGGTAAAGTAAGACTATTTTCAATTAAGAGCTTCCTGCTGTTAATATGAAAAACTGTTTATTTTCTCCATATTTTCGGTAAGTAATAAACAGTCTTGGTAGTTTATCAGTATTTCAAGGATGACTATAATCCAGAAATATAATAGTAATACCCTAGTTCTCTCTCTAACGCTATGTATTCCAATGAAAAAAACTGTATAAAGCCAGCCAAAGATATCACATGTAGGAATGCAGTTATGGAGGAAGAAATCCCATCCCCATTCTCCCTCAATACTTTGAATAAGCAGAAAACCTGTTACACAGCACGAGGATCCCATCTCTGAGTCCCATCCTACAAATTAGATAAATATATATTTTGTGAGAGAGGAATGTTGGAAAGATAGAATCCCGATTTCAATAGTGTGGCATAAATGATATCACTGAAGAATATAGATGAGTCAATTAAAGCCAAGGTGCACAATGAATGAGTCCTATCAGAGTCTCACCTGTAAAGCAGACTGGACACTTGAAGGTTCCTCCCATTCCTTCAAAACTGTGCTCTATTAGATGGCACTGGAGTTTGGCAGGAGAATCAAATGTCTGGTTGCACAACTTGCATTCATGGTTTAGTCCTTCATCTGATGGGGTAAAATTGGAGAAAATGTATTATTATTGGTTACACTTGCCCTCTAATGTTTTGTCAAAAAATACAGGACACTTTGCAAGAGAATAAAGCAATCATAAATGATAAATATCACTTATTAAACAACTTTTCAAGAAGTGCCCCAAAGCAATCCTTTCTTTCTCTTCCAAATCTGTTGCTATTAAAACATTTGCTTGCTAGCAAGAATTAGAAGTAAGTGCAGCTAGATTTAATAATATAAATGTAATTGAACACAACTGGTAATACAAAAGTGTGCACATGCATCCAGTTTTAATTAATTAGATAATTAGATTTAATTAATTAGATAATTATCTTGGTGCCCTTGATTTGGCTGTAGAATTTATTCTGCACCAAAGTCTACAGTAGAATAAGAGTGGATATTACAGTTTTGTTTTGGCAGCAATCACTCTATGTACAGGTTAGGTGAATAAGAGCTACCAAGTATTTGATGCTACAAAAGTGAAGAAAACTCAAATATTTCTACTATCTATATACAACTATAATGCTCATGTTTATCTGTTTGTTTGTTTACATCCTCAAGTTATCCTGAACAGAGCATTATACCACAACAATTTCTGAATCAAGGTTATCTAACATCTGCTAACTTAAAGAATGCATTAAAAAATCTGGGACCCACTAATCTTGTGGAATGAAAATTGTTCGTATCAGTTTATTTGCAAAGTTGTGGCAAATAGTAATGGGATCCTGATTTTTGATGCTCCCGCCAATTTCCCACAAGCAAAATCAACAGGGAAGCAGGGAGGAAGTCAGAAGTCACTCCTTTCCCACTGCTTTTGTGCCCACCCTTGGTTATTCTGTGTATCAGTTTAGGTAAATAAACATTGACTTATTATTGAAGTTTGTTTGCCACTACAATTATTGTTTTTATTTATGATACATATTCTTTTTAGAGCATCACAGGACCATCCAGCATTGGGGTAAAAAAATATATATGGTCAGCCTAAATTTAATGTTCATTCTGGTCACATCAGATTGTACTACCTATCTTTCAAAGGATGACCCAATGAGAATCCAACTAGTTGTCTAGTTTTTCTTAAATCTGATGGGCTACAAAACTATCATGCAGAAAGTTCCTATAAAGTTCCTATAAAGCAGCGGTTCTCAACCTTTGTGTGACGGCGCCCCCATGCATGCACCCCATGCACGGTGCGCATGCACGGCGGCGCCCCCATGTGCAGCACGCATGCACGGCGCCCCCATGCACAGCGCGCATGCGCGACGCCGCCCCGAGGGGGAAAAATGGCGGATCACGTTGTTTGGCGACCCCTGTAAAATGGTCATTCGACCCCAAATAGGGTCGCGACCCATAGGTTGAGAACCGCTGCTATAAAGCAAGAAGCAAGTGTTCAGGTATCTTTCCTTTCCTATCTTATTTTTGTATTGTTTCATTATAAACTTTCCTCTATGACAGATGTTATAACTTCATCCATGCAACTTCTTGTCAGCTGCATAGACCGTGATTGTACTGGGTGTGAAAGAGTTTGTAGATTCTATTTTTATTTAGATGTTACCACATATCATACTAATGTTTACTTTTGATAAGTATTAAGGTTTCTCCTTTTTAAAAACTTGCATGGGACAACAGATCTTTGTCCTGAACATGAAAGCCTGCATTATCTTTGAACTGGCTTTCTCCTCCCCTTATTAGCAACCATCTTACTGAGAGTCTCAGAGGTCCTTCATTTTTCCCCCAGATAGAGGCATTCCAAGTACTACCAAATTGATCCTAAAACCTCCCCCCTCTCAGCTGCAGGCCCTTGGTGACCTTTCCCCCTCCCTGTTCATCCTAGGTTAGTCTTTCTTTTCAGCAATGTTGCAAGCTCCTTTTCTTCCACCATGGGAACAGTGATCGGTTGTCCTACTTAGAAACAGTTGCTAGGTAAAATGCAACCTCCAGCTCTTTTGTACAGGGTTCAATTCCCTCACCCTATCTTAGAAAAGGTCCTCCTCTACTGTATATCACTATTGTGTTATATCTACAGTTTGGTTTGACAGGTACATAATATTAGCCAGTTAATAATAAAAACACATGCACACTCACAAAACAACTGCACCTAGTACAACACTCTGGTGTATTTTAAGATAACAACTAAATTGTCCCACCATGTGTAAAGTAACACAGCCTTCCATGACTGACTCCCAAGAAATGATGAAAAGATAGGAGGCAACAATTATTTGCTGCCTGACAAACTAAAACCAAGAAAAGTGATTAGATTCTTGATGTTTTGGCTCACAATGATTGGGATTTATCCTTAATACAAAGAAGCATAATTAACGTAAAATTAATGCTGTCTGCTGCACCAGCTCCCTTATTCCTAACATTATCAGAGATGGTTTAGCTAAAAGAACTACACAACTACGGTATATATGTGTAAAAATCCTGCCGATGTGTAATATTTTTAGCCAGTGAGAGCAATTCTATTAGCAGTCAAAGAACAGATTTGTCTCTTTGATCAGAAATTGTAACTTTCTGCAGAAAGGAAGACTACTCCTAAGTCAGAAATAGGCAACTCTGAAAATTTTTATGTGTGTGTGACCAAAAAAACTAACTTTTTCTTTCTCCAGGCATTAATCTAGTGCAGTTGGGGGTGTAAAATCTCTCCCACTGATCAGGAAGTAAATCCCACTAAATAAATACAGTTTACCTTTGGAATAAACATTTGCAGTGGAGTATTTTAGAAAGTTTAGTTGCATCAACATATTCATGAAATCCAAAACAGAAGTGGTATGTGAAAGGCTGGACTTTCTTTTGGTTACCTGAATTTGAACATGATTTCAAAATATACTTCCTAGCTGAGAAAAAGAAATGTGCTATGCATGCTGAATGCAGTGCATTCCTTGGTAACTCATATCCCCATAAAGCCACTGATTTTTTTTAAAATCTAAACGTTAATTCTTGATCAAGCCAAACATCTGATTCTGGTCTCCAAGAACAGTTATCACTAGCTATTTTGGAAGATGTCAGAATTATCCAAATGGTTACATTATTCACAAACGTTTATGTTTGAATATACCAAACTATTCCCTCACGGCATAAGCAACATTATGCAAAAACAAAACAAAAGAAAACAAATAACAACAAAACAGAAAGGGAGTAAGTCATGAAATATGAAAAAAGGAAAAGAAAAGCAGCTTAGATAAATCTAGTTTATACCAACACCATTCACTATTCTCTGTACCTTATTATTTTTTACAACAAAGTTGGCAGAAGCAAACATTTGTATACAACAATATACAATGTTTATTTCTTTCAACAAATATTTATTCCTTACAAAAGGCTACCATGCTACTCACTATATTCTTTCAATATTTCTATATCTTAAAATTTCTACATTTTCCCATTTTTGGTATGTTCTATGGCATTTGCATATTTGTAGGGAGGAAAATCTCTCTTAAATTAGTCTGTGAATTGGGAGGGGGGAATCCCACTTAGACGGCTATGTGAATTATATCAGGTATTATAGTATATTATTTATTATTTATTTAATTTGTTAAATTTATTTTCTGTTTATCTCACACAGAGGTTGATCTGGGAGGCTTATTATTCACAGACCAGTGGGACCCCCTTTCCAAATATTTGGGTGGATGCATTTTAATGAAGAAAAGAAAAAAGGAATCTCAATTTTAGATCTATCGAAGAGAACATAAGCAATGGCAACTTCCAAAATATTTGCCAAATGCAAAACATCTACATAGAGTGGTTTAAAGCAAACGTAAGACTGACAAAATTATTACCCATGAAATTATATATTCCTCACAAAAAGTACTACCAGCCTGCCTGTGAAAAAAACAGGCACTTTATGGGGACTGTTTTTTCAAATTTGCTACCATGAATCGCACATTCAAATTTTATATTTCAGTTATGTTTTGAAGTCCAATGTACACATGATTTTTTTTAATGGAAGCTCCAAGATAATTTTCCAGTTAATATATGGTTTTATGCCTAAAAAAAGACATTGTAAGTATAAAAGTAATACCTAATATTAAGTCTGAATAGGAGAATTCACGAGAAAATAAACAAGTTGACCAGGAAAAGAAGAATATTGTCCAGGTTTACTTCTCTCTTCTCCTGTTTTTCAGTTTTGGGGCAACCCATTAAAACAATATCTTCATATTTATGGTGATGCTGAAAAAAACCCAGCAAATAGCCATGACTAAAAATATGTTTGAATTCTGGCTTCCACTAACATTGTTGGAGATAAAATTGAATGTCGAACCTTGCAGGATGCTATTGATTTCTATGGTTATGAGGCCAAAAACATTATAGCTGCACTACATGGACAGTTTAGAAGAGGTTTATTCTCCTTCTCCTCCTCCTCAATATTATAAAATAGACTCTTCCAGACTGATGCCTTTAAGATGTTTTGAGACTACAATTAATCTGTAAGGTGCTTATTAATTGAAAACTGCTCTAGAGATATAATGGGAGGTGCTGTGGCCTATAAGATATTATGTGAACTATAAAAAATGTATCATTTGTGTTAGGGCTATTAGTTAAGATTATTTATGCTTTTAAGGTCCTTTTTTCCCTGACTTTTTGTATTCCACTACATGTATTGGTAAATCCCTTTCAGAAGCATTCCTGTAGAATTGATGATCATTTGTCACTAAACACTTTATGGATTGGTAATAGTGACATGACAGTAATAACTCTGAAGTATGGATGGCCTAGAGAAGGTTGACTATATCATTGTCTCAAAATGTCCCAATTTTCAATCATGTTAGTATTTAATTTTGAAACACCAATTTTACATTGATACATCTTGGTGCTTTTTGTAGCTATAAAACTGGAAAACACCAAATGATAACTGCCCAGGAAACCTTAATATTTGAACCCTTAATGTAGAAATACTGAACATCATATCAAAAATAAACAGACATAAAAAGGCTACTTTGAGAATTTACAGTTGTGACAAATTTGAAGTGAAGTGCCAGAACATCATTTCAAGAGGTTATTCTCCCCTCATACATCCACTTCAAATTACTTTTTCCCAACAAATTTACAAGGAAAAAAATTTCAAAAGCACTGAAGAGCTTTAAAAAAAAATCAATCAGAATAATCTAATCTTTAGAAAGATGGTAAATGATAGTAATTGGAAAATACTGTCTGACTCATTCATGAAAGTGAGATTTAGAGTCAATTGATTTAATAACCATTAAAATATTCTATGAAAGATTTAATAGATTGGCAGAGCCCTGTTTTTATTAGGACTTATAGGTATGATTTAATATAATTTATAAGTAATTACCTCTAGGGTTTAAGTTACAAATTAGATATCTACCAACTACTCTAGACCTGATTCACACAATGGTTTTCCCCATCATAAACACAGTTGTTTTTTGAAGTTGCCTCAAGGAAGATGTCCAAGTGAAGAACATTCTTAAGTAGAAGTTGTATCAAGCTGTCAAAATGACAGATCATCAGCATCAGCATCTCATCATCTATTTTCATAATAATGTGCATTGTTGGAGCACATGCTGACTGAGAAATCTACACACGAAAACTGCTGTTTTCCAAATAAAATGCTGCATTATACTACTAGGGTAAAAGTAGCATTTACTATGCAAATATAGAGTCTCTTCCAGTTGCTGTGCCTAGTATTATATTTCCAAGAGTTGTGGTAGAGTGGGAGTAAGGCCCCTTGTGATGAGTCTCTAATGGAAAAAAAATAAGATGAAATAATGAGCACAAAGAAGCTCCTATCCACACGGTCATAATTAGACAGTGGTAGCTCAAGTAGATTTCTAACTCCTTGCTACTCCTTCTATCCTAACTGAACAATAAGGCTACTCAGCAATGTTTTAGCCATGTCACTTATCAAGTTTACTTTGCTTACTGCTAACAACTGATTGCTGTCAATCCATTTAGTGAGAGCCTATTTCACTCTTATTAAGGCAAAACAGCTTAAGTATTTAACTACTTTTTGCATGACAATGTCCTTTAGCTGCTTTTTATTTTATTGATACCACATGAGATATAGATAGTTGCAAAGGGAAAGCCTATGTATGCTGTTCTATTATCATCCAATCTAAATAGTTACGGTTTAAACCATGATTCCCTTCTCATTGGAATCAAACTGTCTGTTGGTTGTTTGCCAGAATGCCAAATGTGTTAACTTAATCTTCTTTTGGTTTTCCCCAATTCACCCAGCTGGGCAATACAATTCTTTTAAAAGATCTAATATAGAAATTAACAAAGACTGAAAACTTCCAACATACGCTCATTGTTCTTTGATTGTAATAGGCCTTCTGTCATTTACAATTTCTCAAGTATCATTATAATAAATAAACAAATAAAGATGAAGAAACCAAACTGAAACAATTCATGATATAGCAGTAAGGAAATGGAAATGCAAAAATCAAATGTACAGCTGGGAATTGCAGAGGGAAATGTTTACAGTACTTCAGGAATCTGCTACTGCAAAATTGTAGACAAAATCTTGTAGGTTTGTTGGACGCAGTGCAAAGTAGTAATAACTGCAAAGAAATATTGGAGAACTTTCACCCCTCTCTTCAACGTACAGAAGGTAAAATGTGCTAGATAACTTAAGGAATTAAAATAGTTCTGCAAAAACTGCATAAAGCTAGCATATCAAAACTACTACTATAGTCTATAGCATATATACTGCTACAGACTATAAACTACGGTAATACTGTAATGAGAAAAAGGATCTCCCTGAATACAGAAGCTGGGCCATTACATTCTACTTTCATATACAAAGACTTCTTTCTCTAACATAAGAGAAACATTTTCACATTTATGCTTTATTACAGCAGTCTGAAAATCACACAACATATACATTTTCTGTACATTCATCTCTGAACTAATAAGAACATAAAGAACTATAACGATGCTTCTTCTGGGCCAACAGATCTGTACAAACCAACATTGCCTATTCTGACTGTGAGAGATTTTGAGACAGAGATGTCACTTGAACTACATTCTAACTGGAGACATCAGGAATCAAATATGAGAACTTCTGCAAGCAAGCCATATACTGCATCACTGAGCTGTGGCCTTTTCCCAAGAAATGCCATGCTGAGGCATACAAATGTTAATTCTAGTCTAGCATTCTGTCCTCTTAACGGCAGAGAGAAGATGTCATAGGGAACATCTTGTAGGGAATCATCTTGATTGTAGTTGTTCTGGGTAGACAAAAATATCTTTAGAGGGGAAATTGGACTAGCATTGCAAAACTATACTATTCTGCTTCTATTATGTTTTATGGAATATAATGGAAATGATTTTAAAAACTGGTTAAATTTTGTGCTGATTAGAATCTTACGATTTCTGCTCCTCTCTCTCTTTAAAAAAAGTTCTGATAATTTAAGTGCAATAAATAGAAAGTTCTTTTTTATCAGTTCTATTAAAGCTGGGCTTATAGATGTACCTAGACAAATGCCTGGGGCAGCAAATGTGGGTGGTAGCAGTTTTGCTTTGGCAGCAGATGGAACGGACTATATCTTATACTTAACTATTTTGAAACCTTAAATGACAAAAGGAAGGGATGCTCAAAGAAATAAGAAATTGTTGCTCCAGAGAACAGGGATGAGAAAAGTTGTGGAAAGGGGCAGGAGAAGATTCTAAGACTCTCAGATTTGTACATGTTACCACAGTATAGCAGATGATTGGCAGCTGTTGTGGAAAATAGTCCCAAGTTTGTTCAGAGAAACTGAAGAGATGATCTTAAAATTTTCTAGCTCTATGCACAACATAAGACTGTTCCAAATTGCTACCATCTCTAGGTAAATGGTTTATCCAGTGGCGTAGAAGCAGATGAACAGCGCCATGGGAAAATGTTCTGGTTACATCAATAACTGTTATATATTCCCAGTATCTCAGCCTCTTTTGTGAATACTGGCCAGCTATTTTTCTGGTTCAAGGTAAAAAATAATTTGCAGTAGTCTGACTGTGGTTAAAGTTGCCATCAATATGCATCCATGCTGGTGTGGATGGAGGGCTCAATTAAATAAAAAGGACGGAACACCTAGAGAAGTCCTATTCTATACACCCATTTAGGGTCTCCCTTCTGACTACATAACCATGTTTGCATGCCATGGATGACTGGAAAAATCATCATTAACCTCAAGAAAGCCTGATGCTATTTGTGACTGAATTTTCTTATTTACTTGACCCTTAATGAAGTGACACATTCGTGAAAAACTGGCAATTTGAAGTAATTAGTTTGTGAAAATTAAGTCTGCCAGCTATCTAGGGCAACAAGTAGATTAGGGAAAGTCTGTCTTGGGAAGCAAATTTCTCAAAATAAAAATAAAAATAAAAAAAATGAAAAAGTAAAAAAAAAAGTTCTATCATTTGTCAAGGTCAAAAAGATTAACAAAAATGTAGAAACTGAACATACTGAGCACTAGTATGTATTTTTTTTTATAAACCAATACATTTTATACAAGGGAAATGAAGAAAACACATCAGTACTAAATGTGTGTCCTGCTCTTACTGCATTAGTTTTAGGCTGCCATGAGCTCACATGGAATTAGCAGGACATTTAATGAAATGGATGGATAGATGGATGGATGGATAAATGCCTCTGCTTGATATTGTTTGGGCTCTGAAGCAAAGGAGGCCTGATTAGCATTTGGATTGGAGACTACCCAAGCTATGGCCTAGACCAGTGCACTGATAAATATTCCAGAATGTTGCTATGGAAGATACTTCCATAATGTTTCTAATCAAAATGCATAAACATGCCAATGAGGAGCCAAGACTCAAAGGAGATATACATAAAATGATTCTTTCTCCTTACTGATTGGTTCCCATGTAACATGAGTAATATTGGTGCTTTTGGATTATGGGCTTTATGGATCTCTAAAAAAGAGAAAGTGTTACTATGCAAAGTACCCAATCATTCAGAAGATCCTGATGATTTTGGATTTTGAATACTATTGCTGCAACTTGAAACTATTCTTTCAGGGCTGAAAGCCTCATTTAAAATATGAGGCAGGGTTTAGATCTTATACTGATAAGATACTAGATTACAAGGAGAATTAATATAAATTAATACATTAATATATTAAATTAATAAATACATTAATACAAATTTAAATATAATTCTTTTTCCAAACATCTTAGATATCATTGTTGTATGATATGTTCATAATTATCTATAACAATTATTTGGCTGATTCACAGAACTGCAAAACCTAAGTGTGGGTAGGTATTGCCCCATGTTCCAGTTTCTAATTGTGAGCTTAGACACCTTAACCTCTCTTTCTCTTCAAAATAACACTTCCTTCTTCTGCCGTTCTATATAATACACAGAACTACAATGAAATGAGCAATCAAAAACTACATACTGTATATCTGTGTTAATTAATAAAGTTACATTAATTTTCATGGAAAAGGTAAGTTACTCAAAATCAAAACACTTTGGCTTATTTTAAAGCATCAGTTCTCTTAATTTTGAAAGCAATTCTTTGTTGTTTTGTCAACTATAAATTTGTTTTAAAATTGGTCAACTTGCAAGATATAGCTTTCTCTAATTGTTTGAGGTTAAATACCTACTAGTATTGCCCACCTGTCTGGGAATTCTGGAACTGGTGGAAGTACTGGTATATCTACCATCGAGTTCTACACAGAAAAAACACAAATTGGTAAAATTGAAAAAAGATACTTTATGGAAACTTCATGCAGCATAAAGAAAACACTACCTGTTGTCAGATCTAGGGGAAACACTTTCTAAGACTGATCCATGTAGTTAGTTAATTCCATATTACAGTGGATCAGCCATGTGAACTGCGTACAACACATTCTTCTCCCTGTCAAGAAATGTTTCTTGAGGAGACACAAGAAAAGGCTACTTAGCTGCCTGCAGAAGACATCAGCAGGTTACACAGAAGTACTTGTACCCTTGGAATTTTTTTTGGCTTTTCTAAACATTGTACATTAAATATGTGAATAACGATGACACAGAATTATTGATACGGTCAGCATACACAGTGTGGTATACGGAAACACAAAGTCTGGCATAAAACTGCATTATTTTATTGCCTTTTTCTTGTGTTCTATCTTTGGCTATACAGGATATATAAACAAATGGAATAAATTGGTGATATTCATTTAAGCTTTCAGGCAACAAATAGAACACCATTTGAGCAATTCTTATTTTTAGGCTCTTATTTTTCATATTCCTAGAGTGGTATGCTTTTGTGGTCATTCCCACATAATGTTCCAGTAATGTGTATCAACATCTTTGCTTATGAAGTCCTTTAAGAAAAAAACTGTCACTAGTCTGGGCTATAAACACCTAATAAATCTTCTGGGACATATTTTTCTGTGACTGGCTCCTGAATTTAAACAATAAAGTTTAAATGCTTTTTGACATGGTCAAGGAAAGTCATACAAGTCTTTCTCATGGCACTGAACCTACTTGAAAGTTTCATTCATATGTTTTGGTAATTTAAAAATGAACTCAGATATTTCCTCGTGGTTTATCATTCTAAATTTGGTAGAATGTATGTTTAATATATTTAAGATATTGTCACATTAGCAGAATAAAGTATACAGGAAAAGTAATATTGTTATATTAGCAAAATAATACAGACAGAGAAAGTGATTTTTCAAAGCATGCTAAATGGATACACAGAAAACTATTCCTCTTTTTCTTAAAATGGGGAGAAGAAAAAAAAGATAAAAGTCAAAGTTGCCTTAAAGTTATGCCTCAAAGTTATCTAGGGCTTAAAACTATGATCCTTCTGACAGGTTGTCTGAGGTTATAGCCTGCATAATAGCATTATATCATGAGAATAGAAAGGGGATGTTTTTGCATGTAATTTCAAACTGAGGTTACAATCCCACAATCATAATTTTATGCTTACATCTTGCTTTTCCACCAAAGTTTCAAGGTGGCTTAGTTAAGGACTGCATTTCAATTTTCCCCAGACAGTATAAAATTATCAAGTATGTTGGGTTGGTTTGGGGGGGAGGGAGAGGGGGGGGGAGGAAAATATGTCCAAATTTACCCGGGGATTTGAATAGCTGAGGGCTGACATCAGCTGGGATCCCTCCAGTAATAAACTAACGCCCTAAGTATTACATCATTGCCTTAACTCAGAACCAACATTTTGATTTAAAAACTATCCCATATACACCTATTGATTTCAGTGGGATTTATTATAAGACTGAGATGTGCATCAATCACCAAAGCTTGGATTGTAACTGCCTCTCTCATACTCTAAATGTCCCAATGCACCATGGAAATCCACTCCTGAAAAAGAACTCAATATATTGTGCTTAGGGATATAGCAGCAAGGAAGGGAATCACTGAAAATTAATAACTATTCTTCTTTATGTTTGCAAATTACCTTCATGAATCCAAGTTATTTCGCATCTTCTACCTAAAGTTTGCTTAGACAGAAATTATAATGACTAATGGTTAGTTATCATTTAATTTTAAAAAAGTATGGACTTATTCCTATGGGCTACATCTGGGTCTTATACTTGGAGGGAAAATAGGAAAAACCCAATCCAGTCTTGGTATTTTTTTCCCCTGGAGATAATGCCTGTTATTAAAAATTTAGATTATTGAAAGAAATACATCAAAACTGTGTTTTAATAAATCAAATGGAAAAAACAAAAGTGACTCAGTTTTTCAAACTGATTCAAATATTATCTGTATTTTTCTATTTTTAAGTGCATTATAATCTAATTAATATGCTATTGGTGTGGATAATCATGTATTAAAAATGAAATCATACTTCTAGCTAGCCTTCAATGTTATTTTTGTTATTTAATCTTGCTGTACAATACCTACACATTGAACTAAGTCATACAGGTGGAAAAAAAACACAAAAGGAACTGCTTACACAAGAGAATCCAAATGCCCAGGGCATCTATAGAATCTCTAACCCTAACCCTTGTTTAGTGATCACAACTGGAACCAGCAACTTGGTCATTAAGAAAAGTAGTTCATAAACTGCAATGGTGCTTATAATCTTACTTCAGCTTTCTTTTGTTTTACAGACCGGTAAAGGTTATAAATGCAAGGATTAGTTGCAAAGTTACTTTTTCATCACTGTTGTAACTGCAAATGGTTATTAAATGAGCTGTTGCTAAACAAGGACTACCTATATCTAATAAATCAGAATTACCATCTCAAAGCAACTTGTCACATGCAAACCATTCTTTTGAAGAAAACTATGGACAGAATGTGTGACTGAGGGCATAGTAGACATAATATTATTAATCTGGTTCCTATTGCTGCATAACCAGAGCATATTACATGTCAGCAATGCAAATAGCACTCAATTGGAATGGACTAAATAAAGGGCCCTAACTGGATCTAGTTATAGCATGTTTTGTGAATGCAGGAACTTCACTAAATGGAAACTACGCAAGCATTGTTGCTAATTCATAGAAATCCGTACCATACATAAGAAATTTTCAGTCAACAATGGTTATGGCATTCTGGAAAATATCAAATGAGCAAAAATAATATAAAAGACATTAGTGACTAAATTTCTCTTAAATGATATATTCCTTTTTTAAATACTAAATACAAAAGGGAAACTTGTTTTAATCAATGGAATAAAAACAATAACAAAGCAATGAGGTTAAGGAGCAGTAACTCAAATCAAGAAATATTTCTTTTTTTTTTTAAATTATCTCTGTTCACTTTTTAATTTTTAATAATAAAACAAAATTTATGGAGTTCAGCAACAGACATTCTATCATATAATAGCTCTATGCACCTTACTTTTTTAGTTTTTTACTATATGCCATCAAGCCGGTGTTGACTGTTTGCAACTACATAGATATTCTCTAGGACAATTTATTCCCACTCTGCTTCTTCAGTTCTTCCCGTGGTGTGTACCCATTGCTGCTGCAATTGAGTCCATACACCTTGCTGCTGATTCTCCTTTCTACCTTTCTCAGTATTATTACCATCCAGAGAATGTGTCTTTGCATAATGGGTCCGAAGTATGATAATTTGAGCCTGGGCATTTGTGTCTTGTGAGGGACTCTGGATTGACTTGTTCAATGTTTGTTGGCCATCGACAGTATGCTCAGGAATCTTCTACAACATAAAAATTCAAAAGGGTCTCTCCATCTTGTTTCTCAAAATCCTACTTGTATTTCTATAATGTCATAAAAGTTATAGAAATAGAAAAGAGGGAAAATAATTGCCTAGAGACAATCCTGATCATTTTAGGCAAAGACACATCCTGGCATCTGAATATCTTTTCCAAAGTGTTCATGGCTACTCTACCAAGTGGTCATGTGTAGCGTATTTCTTAACTGCTGACACCTTCGCTATTGTTAGTTGATCCTAAAAGGCAGAAATATATTTATCACTTCAGCATCTTCATTGTAACTTCTAAATTGTACCTACTGTCGTTAGTTTTAATCTTTGTTCCATTTTTTTCATTCTACTTCTTGACTTTCATGGCTAGAACTGATATTTTCATTTTCAACTATCAGAGCAGCATTATTAACAAAGCACAGATCAGTGATTTTAAAACTATGCTCATTTATTTTCAATCCAGCTTCCCTCACAAATTCTATATATAGGTTGGATAAATAAGGGGAGGATATATAGCTCGTCTCCCTTCGTTGCCAGCCTGCCTGTTTTACCATCTGAACTATGGCTTCCTGATCTGTATATAGGTTTGGCATGATGACAACGAGATGTTCTCTTTTTCTAAGAACATTCCATAGTTTCACATGGTTGACACAATGGAACACCTGTCTATAAACAATGAAGTATATGTTAACTTCTTTTAGGTATTCTTTGGTTTTCTTGGTTGTCCATTCTGCATCAGCAACAATTTATCATGTTCCTCAGCATTTTCGAAAACCAGCTTGTAGCATTTTTGTAGGGCTCTGCTCTCTGTTGGAAGATCCTAAGCATCATTTGTTTGCATGCAAAATGAAGAATACTTATGATATTGTCTTACTTTAGGGAGACCTACACTTCAAAAATAATACACTGTTGCTGTTAAGCTCTGATTTCTTATGCAATCTTTTCATTTTACAGCATTCAGCATGACTTTCTGATACTGGTATACTCATATCCATCATCTTATATTAATTACACACCATGATTTTTTGTTGTTGTTAAAATTGGTAGCTTTGGGGTACAATCCTGTAGTCCACTATATGGGGTTTCTTCCAGTGCAGCCTGCATGATTCCTACAAAAGCTCCTCTGAAATGAATGGAGATTTCACAGCAGCACCAACTGGAGCTATGCACCTTTTATCCACAAGAAAAAAGGATATAAATTGACCCAATGCTCTCCTTTTCCCACACATTCTGTATTTTTGTTTTTGTGCTAATATATTTCTGTGCTTTATCGCTGTAACCTGCTGTTCTCTTTAATTGCTTATTGTTATTAATTATATAGTGGTAACATTGTTGGCTGCTTGAACTATTTGGCTATAAAAATGCATTTATTATTATTGCCACTGGAGCTGCAGTAAATTGCCAGGGTTCTGTCTAGAGATAAATGCCTTTGAATATTCATCCAATAAAATTTGAACCTGGATCACACTGCGATTTTCTTTTGCCTTTCTCTTTTTTCCTTCTCTTCTGCTCTCCTCTTTCTTTCCTGTTCTCATTTAATCTAAATACA